CCGCGTCGTCGTATAGACCTTAATATAATGGCTACATTCGGCATTTTTAAGATTGTAACAGAATTTTTAACGATTTTTTTTTTTGAAAGTAGCGAAATTAGTTCCAGATGGTGGAGGGTATTCAAAGTTGAGCAAGGCCGAACTTACAGCTTTTTTACTTTTTTTATGAACATTACTGAAAACTCAACATTACTGCTTTCAGTTAATTATTCTAATATCTACTTAATATGTATTAATCTCCCCCAACCCTCGCCCCTGCCCACCCCACACACAGGCAATTCTGTCAGACAAACCTCCCAAATAGATAATGCCTACCTTATTACATTCTTAAAACAATTTCGACTAATAACTCAAATTATAATGCATTAAACTACAATTTAAATCAATATAACAACAGCGCGTGGAAACTCCACCCCCCACCCACTGATGGCCATCTACCAATCCACAAATAATGACCAGCAATTGCATACCGAAATAGTGGCGATGAATGAAACAAGAAAATCACAATCAATATCTACACCAATAACAACAAATTGAAATGAAAACATTCAAATCGACATTCTATAATTAATTATGGATTTATGAATGACAGAAAAATGAATGAAATTGGGGGGACCTTAGATTATTTCTACGCCCCCAACGGACTCAGAACATATGTGTGTGTACACACATATACATATGTTTGTATACACATGTGTTTGTATATAACTTTAGGACATTTATAAAATCATCCACCTGTATATACTTATGAAATGTTGAAATGGATGGGTGGGTGGTTGGTTAGTTGTTTGGTGGGGGAGGCTTCCCCCCAATTGACTTGTAATTGTAATTGACCAATCAGCTAAAATATTCATAATTTGAGTGGTAGTTCGTTATTCTTTTCCCTTTTGAAAATGGTTTTCAAAATGGATTTTCAATCAATGGAATTTTTCTGAAATCCTTACATTTTAAGCAGCTCTGTTCTTATCTCCGCAGACCATATTGTAAAGGGTGTTGCCGTTGACTAAGTGGCGGACATTTGCATAGTCCTTTTTTCTGACATTGTTTTATACCCAGACGAATCGGCTAAAGCTAGAATCTTGAAATTTTGGGTGTGGATCACTCTATGTCCGAAAGTGTCAGATAAGGCTGGGTTTTTGGATATTCTTACTAGAACGTAACGAAAAGTACTAAAAGGTACCCTTTGTATTTGACGAACCAGTAGAGCTAGAACTCTTAAATTTGGCATGAGGGTGACCGATGGTGTGTATGATAGATGTACCAAAGGGTTTTTAGAAATGTATTTGGTACCATTTCGTATCATGTGAACGGTTGAAGTTAATAACTTGGAATTTGGAATAGGGATCAAGGTTGAGGAGTAGGGTCCATGTAGGAAGGTGATGATGATAAACGGTACTAAATTTGATACAATTTGAATTTCGGTTAAGCTGAAGTTAACATTACTGGCGGAGTGTAGGGTTAGTAGGGGGAGGAAGTGTTCGAAATTTGTACTTATGTGCACGAAAAGTACTAAATCGTACTAAATTTGGTCCAATTTCGATTTGGGTGAACCTATACAGTTGGGATTCTGAAATTTGGAAGTAAGATTACAATTGCATTGTAGAATTGGGGTGTATGGGAAGTTTTGGAAATTCGTACTTCGGTGTACTAAATGGTAATAAATTTGGTACAATTTAAATGTTGAGAGAACCGACAAAGTTGGAATCCTGACATTTGGAAATAATATTTCTTTTGGATTGTATGATGTTGGTAGTTATGGAAATTTGTACTTATGTGTACTAAAATGTACTAAATTTGGTACAATTTAGACTTGGTTGAACCAATAGAGCTGGTATTGGAAATAAGATTAATGTCGGAGTGTAGCATTGGGATATGGAGGTAGTTTTGGAAGTTTTTTACTTATGTGCACAAAAAGTACTAATTGGTACTAAATTTGATACAATTTAACTTTGGGTGAACCGATAGAGAGGAAATTCTGAAGTATGAAATTATGAATGCTCTTTGAGTGTAGGATTAGGATTTGGAGGTAGTTTCGGAAATGTGTACTTATAAGTACTAAAATGTACTAAATTTGGTACAATTTGGATTTGGGTGAACCAATAGAGCTACAATCCTGACATTTGGTATGGGGATAACTGTGGTATGGGAATTGAGGTCTGTGGAAAGATTCGTACTTATGTGTACTAAATTGCACTAAATTTGGTACACATTGGAATTGTAGTGAAACTGGTATCATAAAATTTTAAAATAAGGTTTCTATGGGATTGTATAATTGATGTATGGGGGTAGTTTTGGAAATTTGTAGTGTAGGATTGGGATATGTAGGAAGTACTTATGTATAATAAATTTCAGTACAATTGGGATTTGTATGAAACGATATGGCTAGAATGCTGAAATTTGGGAAATAAGATTACAATAGCATTATAAGATTGAGGTATGTTGGAAGTTTTGGAAATTCGTACTTCTGTGTACTAAATTTGGTAAAAATTAAATTTTGGGAGAACCGGTAGAGTTGGAATCTTGAAATTTGGAAATAAGATTTCTATTGAATTGTATGATGCATGTTGTTATGGAAATTTGTTGAAGGAATACATAGAGCTGAAATTCTGAAATTTGATATTGACGTTACCGTTGGTTTCTAGGATTTACATATGAAGGCGTTAAAATAGCTTTGGGCAGAAAAATTGGATTTGGAAGAGAAAAATTTGAAATTTAGTACGATGTATGAAGTTTTGGTAAAATATTTTGTCAAATTGTAAATTTTGAGTACTAACAAGTATAAAAGTTTTAAGTTCGGCCAGGTCGAACTTTGAATACCCTCCACCATTTTGAATTTGGAAACTTTCAAAACATAAAATCCGTTAAAAATTATGTTAAAATCTTAAAACTTCCAAATGTAGCTGTCATATTAGGGTCTCAACGACCATTACAATATTCAAATCCCAAACTCGCACAAAATCGCACAATTAATTTGAAATCGGATAAAGATATATATGGGAGCTATATCCAAATCGGAACCGATCTCGATAAAATTTGGCAAAGATATTTCTGAGCTGTATTTGATATATTTCCCTGAAAATCGTTGTTACCTGAAAATCGTTGCATATTACAGCTGTGGGTAACAAATATAACAAATCCGATGAACATTATATATGGGAGCTATAGCTATATCTGAACCGATCTTCACCAAATTTGACATACTAGCTTCTAGACTTAATTCGGTGGTAAGTGCCAAATTCCATCACATTTGGACAAATATTAGACGTTTGGTGCACAAAAAAGGCTAAATCGGACGAAGTTATATATGTGAGCTATATCCAAATCTGAACCGATCTCGATAAAATTTAACAAAGGTATTTCTGATCTGCATTTAATATATTTCCCCAAATATTGTTGTTACAGAATGCATATTACGGCTGTGGAGGATAAAAATAACAAATCGGATGAACAATATATATGGGAGCTATAGCTATATCTGAACCGATTTCGATCAAATTTGGCATACTTATTTCTAGGCCCAATTTGGTTGTATGTGCAAAATTTAATACTATTTGGGCTAATATTAGACGTTTGGGCCACAAAAAAGGGCAAATCGGACGAAGATATATATGGGAGCTATATCTAAATTTTGACCGATTATCTCCAATCTCAATAGGGTTCGTCCTTGGGCCAAACAAATGATATGTGCAAAATTTCATCTGGATAGGGCAATAAATGCGAACTGTACTTTGGGGTCTATCTCGTTTCCTTTTGCCTGTTACAAACAAATGCACAAAGACATAATACCCTGACCACCTTGTGGTGTAGGGTATAAATACCGAATATCGGGAGGTACCGTTTTATGGGGGCTATACGAAGACCTGGACCTTCACAGACAATTTTCTGTCATAGGCTGTAGTATTCATTACGAACTTTAAAATTAAGTATTTGAACATTCCGGTAAATAATGTCGCACTTGCTACTTTTCTATAAATTGTTTTCCCATTTCCTGACCCCCACCCCCCTCTCTCTCTCTCCTACAAACACAGACATGGCACAAGTAAACTTTCCTAATGTAAATTTATACCAAAATATACAGGAACAATTATTTCCAATAAAATTCTTCACTTTTTTTTGGACCGTCGATCTGCCCTAAATTTTCTGTAGAGTTTTTGGAAAATGATCGAAAATTAAAAATTCATTTTTAGCTAATACCTTACACTTTTTAGTGAATTGTTTGCCTGCTCAAACTTCGTGTGCATCCCCACAGAAGATCGAAATTCGAAAAATGACAAGCGCCGGCCATGGTGATGGTGTGGTCCGCCATAACAGCCGAGAGTCGACCGTGGCATCAGAATAAATGCCGAATATTATCGCGAAACTATTCTGGAGGGTGTATTGAAGCCTTGGGCACGCAAACATTTTACCCGCAGACCTTGGACATTCCAACAGGACTCAGCACCATCGCACTCAGCACGCGCCACCCAAGAATTGTTACAAAATTAGGTTCCTCGCTTCATTTCCAGCGCACAATGTCCACCGAAATCTCCGAATACCAATCCGTTGGACTATTGTGTCTGGAGTATTTTGCAAAGCAAGATTGGCACTAAAAAATTCCAAAGTGTCGATCACCTCACGCAAGCGCTTCTCCGGGAATGGGCTAAACCGCAGAACAACATTCGGACAGCTGACCAATTCGAACAATATAATCTTATTCTATAATGCGATGCTATTTCCGATATTTTTTGCTTTCATTCAATAAAATTTAAAAAAAATGTAAAAATTATGTCATTTGTCTTTGTTGCAGTTTTTTTATCTCACCCTGTATACCTTAGATTTGCAAGCTCAAACTTCTTGTGCATCCCAACAGAAGATCGATATTCCAAAAAATCTCATACCGATATTATTTATAGCAATATTTCTGCCAAACTTGGATAGTGATCGAAAATAAACCATACCATCCTACTCCTCCTAGTTCCTCTCCCCCCAAAAAAATCTTCAAATATTGAAAAATTCATGAATATTATACAAGTCAAAGACAGTCCGCAATTTCTTGCAAATGGTTGCATATTTAGTCAAACTTAGCTTACGGTGGACTATATGAATCCGATTCTTCTTAATTTTTTATTTTAATTTTTTTTTTCTTCATAAGGTTTGATTTAGGACTTATTAGCAGGACAATTTGTAACCAACTTACGATCGCGGCATGTTAAGGCCTCACGATCATACCACTGTGTTAGGGAACAACGTTGACGTTTGACACGACCCCGTTGGCAGACGTAGAAACGACGACAATGTCTGCTGTCTGTCAAGACCGTATTATCCGGCAGCGAAGCACAATCGTTAAGAGTCAATAGAGTCTTTGCCGGTTTATTTAAATTCTCGGGTATTGGATCTGTGGCCATATGTTCGGGAATTGGTTCACATGTTGTGGTGGTGGTGGTTGGACATGTGTTGGTAGTAGTAGGACAAGCTGTAGTAGTTGTTAGACAATCTGTGTTTTCATTACCTTGGGATGTCGATGTTACATCTTTTTGTGGAGATATATTCGTCGTATTCGAATTTGCAGTTGGAATGGCGGTGTGATTACTCTCGGTCATTGAATGGTTAAGCATTACCGTTAGCACAAGGTGCATATGTCTGGCATGATCTCCAACACCGAATTCATTGCAGTTGATGTTATTACGCAGGAGCAATGCAAGGGATAGAATCCAAATCAGCACTCCATATCCTGTTCAAAACAAGATGTTGAAAATTTCATTGCAATTTTTAAAAAAAAATTAAAATTAAAAAAAAATAGAAAAATAAATTTTTTTATTTACCAAATTCCATATTTTCCCAATTAAAAGGTTATCAAGGCAAAGAATTTCCGACTTTTGACCAAAAGTTATAGTTGCATGGGTTTTATATACGATTTACCTATGGGTGTGGTTCCTTGTCGTGTAAATGAATGTACAACTATTTTCAATTTTACATTATCAGTGTAATAGAAAAAAAAACACCTCTCCGGACCCAACAACATTTACACCCTGGTTATTATTGGGCTCAATGGGACCACGCCCAAAAATACACGTTGGAAAGTATCAGCCGGTTTGTCGACAGATCTATACTCTCAGCACATGATTTTCATGATTTCATGATTTTCAGAAATCTTTGAACGCTGGTACTACGAGGTAATAAAAGAAGATGACACCAGATCTTACATTGGTATAAATGTTTAGATATGGGAGGTTTATGGAAAATTGGATTCTTCTTCAATATTATGACCTTTGAGGAAAAGGTATCAGAAGGAGATGATATTTCCCATCTTAGTTAGCCATAATTGATAAGAATAATAAAAGAGTTAAATAATTGACCGAAAGTGCCAGATAAGGCTAGGTTTATCGAAATTCGTACTAGAACGGTACGTAAAGTACTAAATATGGTACCCTTTGTATTTGAGAAAACAGTAGAGCTAAAACTCTTAAATTTGGAATGAGGGCCACTGATCGAGTGTGTGATACACGTACCAAACGATTTTTGGAAATACTCATATAAGTGTACGAAAAGTACTAAAATGTACTCGATTTGGTCCCATTTCGTATCATGTGAACGATTAGAGCTAAAAACTCGAAATTTGGAAAGAGAATCAAGGTTGAGGAGCAACCAAAGCAACTATATTTAGTACCATTTCTTATCAGGTAAACGGTTAGAACTAAAAACTTGACATTTGGAAAGCAAATCAAGGTTGACGAGTAGAGTCAATGTAAGTAGGTAGGCATACGAAAAGTACTAAACGGCACCAAAATGTACTAAATTTGGCACCATTTCGTATCTCGTGAACGGTTGGAGGTAAAAACTTGAAATTTGAAAAGGAAATCAAAGTTGACGAGTATGGTCGATGTAAGGAGGTAGTTTTGAAAGTGTGTACTCATGTATATGTAAATTACTAAACGGTACTAAATTTGGTACAATTCGAACGAATGTAGCTGAAATTCTGAAATTTTAAATTAACATTACCGGCGGAGAGTAGGATTGGGATATGGAGGTAGTTTTCGAAATTTGTACATATGTGCACGAAAAGTACTAAATGGTACTACATTTAGTACAATTTCGATTTGGGTGATTCGACAGAGCTTGAATGCTGAAATTTGTAAATAACATCACTATTGCATTGTAGGACTGAGGTTTGTATGTTGTTGTGGAAATTCGTACTTCTGTGTGGTAAATGTGTACCATTTAATTTTGTACAATTTAAATTTTGGGACAACCGGTAAATTTGGAATACAGAAATTCGAAAATAAGATTACTATTGCATTGTAGGGAAATGCCTACTTATGTATACTAATTGGTACTAAATTTGGTACAATTTGAATTTGGAAGAACCGATAGAGATAGAATCCTAAATCTATTATCTATTGGATTGTATGATGTAGGTAGTTATAGAAATTGGTACAAGTTAGATTTGAGCTAACCAATAAAGATGGAATCCCAAAATTAGGAAAAAGATTATAGAGGTAATATTGAAAATTTGGAGTGTAGGTTTGGGGTATGTAAGAAGTTTGGGAAATTCCTACTTATGTGTACTAAATGACACTAAATTTGACACAAATTAGAATTGTGGTGAGCCGAAAGAGTTGAAATTCTTAAATTTGGAAATATGGGATTTCTATGGGATTGTATGATTGAGGTATGGAGATAGTATTGGAAATTTGAAGTGTAGGATTGGAGTATTTAGGAAGTTTTGCAAATTCGTACTTATGTGTACTAAATTTGGTACAATTTGGATTTGTGCGAACCTGAAGTTTGGAATTAAGATTTTTTTTGGAGTATGGGATTGGGTGATGTAGGAACTTTTGGAAATTCGAGCATATTCGTAATCCTATAATTTGATATGGATGTCACAGTTGGCGTCTGTGGTTCAAAGAAGGAGCTGGTTTTGGATATGCGTGCTATAATTGTACAAAATGGTACTAAATTGATAAAAAGGGAAATTAAAGAGCTGAAATTTTATAGCAAGGTCACGTTTGGTATCTGAGGTATGAAGTCTGTTTTGGAAATTTGTACCATAATTGTTCGAAAAGTATTAAATGTTACTAAATTTGGTATTGGGTGAAGAGATAGTGCTAGAATCCAAAAATTTGATATAGAGGTCTCTGTTGGTATCTGGAATTGAGATATGGAGGTGGTTTTGTACTAAGTGGTGCTAATTTTGGATAAATATTGGTGTCAAGAATGGAGAGATGTAGATTTTTTTGATATGCGTACTAAATGCTACTAAATTGAGTATTGGATGAAGGGATAGAGTTGAAATTCTGAAATTTGATATTGAGGTCATTGTTGGTTTCTAGGGTCGAGATATAGAGAAATAGTTTTGGACAGAAAAATTGGTTGTGGGTCTTAAAATCTGGATCAACCTCATAAATGGACCAAATTCCATTGTTAAATGATTCTTGAAGTAGTCCAAAGCAATCTGTCAATTTTCAAAGCTCTATATTAAATGTTGCGAAATATATATTAAAATATTGGGGTTCATTTCTGTATATGGCCAGGGCTCTTTTGGGATTTTGATCTACAAACCGGGTACTATCAAATCCACTTGAAATTTTCCACAATTATAACAAAATTTGTAGGAAAAAATCCTAAATTGTTGAAAATAGAAAAGTTATTTTTATAAACCGAAATTTATGATAGAAATTTCATGGTATATATAGGTTATACAAATTTCTTTTTTCAGAGACTTCCATTGAAATTCGATCCAGAATATCTCTTTCTTTGACACTTTTTCCATTCCATTCCATTTCGGTATTCGGTATTTAGGCGATTTTAGGTACAATATTTACCGGAATTGTTTCAAATTTCGTATTTGCAGTTCGTAACGGGTACTACAGCCTGTGACAAAAAATTGTCTATGCAGGTCCAGGTCTTTTTATACCCCCTATATATCTGTACCACCCTATTTTCGGTATATTTTTTAGGTTCAATATTCAAGGGAATTTTTTCAAATTTCGTATTTGCAGTTCGTATCAGGTACTTGTAAAAGGAAATTACTTATGCAGGTCCAGGTCTCCAAGTAGCCCCAATATAATGGTACCTCTCTATATTTGGTATTTTGACGATTTTAGGTAGAATACTCACCAATTTTTGTTTTAAGTTTCGCATTTGAATATTGTAATGGCTTATGACAAAAGTTGAGTACGCAGGTCTACGTCTTCGTATAGACCCCAATAAAACAGATATATTCCGTATTTTAAAGATTTTAACAGAATTTTTACGGATTTTTATTTTATTTTATTTATTTTAATTTTATTTTTTTTATTTTATTTTATTTATTTATTATTATTATTATTTTTTTTTTTTTTTTTGAAAATTGCCAAATTTGTTTCAAATGGTGGAAAGTTCGGCCTTGCATTTTATTTGTTGTTTTTTTTTTTTTTTGGAAAAATTTTCATATTCGTTGCAAATGGTGGAGGGTAATCAAAGTTCGGCCCAGCAGTGATTTTGTTTATCATATGGTCGGTCACACCTGACTAATTTTTATCACGCCAAAAGAAAAGGGTATCTCCACTTAACGCAAACAACTATAATCATTCAAAGTACTTAGCAAATGGCCACCAAAAGGCGTTCCCCTCAACGTGTCCAATTGGAAGAGATAATATATAAAACGCTCCAAAACGTATGGAATACGAACAAAAAAAAAACAAACTGAGTAATTTGAACAAATGGAGTACTTTCGAACGAATCAAATTGAAATGTAAAGGGCAAAGATTCTGATTAGATACGGAGGGGGTGGTTAGCGAATGGATGTCGGCAATGTATGTCGACCAAATGGAAATAAATGCTACAATTGTAAATATGTATTTATGTATGTTTCATGTAAACATACATACATTGTTTGAAATGTGTTGTAATGTCCACACCAATGTCCACCTCTGGACACAAGGACAATGTCAAAGAATCTAATTCCTATTTTCCAGTTCATATAAAAATGGATTTCTCTGTAAACGCCAATACTATTGATTGAAAATAACTTAACGTTTCATATTTTTTTTTTTGTATTTACAAATTTATTCAGAAATTGAAGAAACCCAAAAATATGGTAGAAATAATTATTATTTTACAATTTTAGGAATATTTTCCCTCAATTATTTCAATATTTGACATGCCATCATTGCTGCCAAAGGCAAGTGTAATTAAAGAAATAGGTTCAAACTGATTAAAAAAAAAACAATTAATGTAATTGGAATAATTCAGGTTTTATTCAATGGCTGAAGAAATAAATATAACTTTCTTTTATTTTTTCAAATATTTTCATCTAATCAACTTTAGTTCTTATCCCAGGATATTGGGGGTACTAAAATTTTGACATTAAAAGCTACATATTTTCTTAATGAGCACAAAATTTTAATTCGATAAAACGGTGTTCATCGGCCTATTAAAAAGGCGATAGTGTTTACAATATTTAAGACTAGCAAGTACCGGCTACTCCGTCAGCGAAAAGTCCACCTTAAAATTTCAGATTCGTTTCAACAGTTCGTTTTAGGCGTTTTTACTACTTAAAATACTTCGCAAATACATCAGTTTGACAAAATTGTCTAATCAAAACTTCATACATCGTACTAAATTTTTAAAGTTTCAAGGTTTTATTATTCAAGTTTTTCCTTGTCCGGAAAAAATTATAGGAAAATGTTTAATTTTTTCCCCAGAAAGTCTTCAAAATCTCTCATTATGAAGTTGACCGACGTGGATATTGCACAATGGACCCACATCCATATTTTCTGTCCAAAACTGTTTTACCGTCTCCACATGTAAACCAATAGCGTCTATGAAACCAATAGTGACTTCAATATCAAATTTCCGAGTTTCAGCTCTATTCATTCACCCAGTAACATATTTTGTAACATTTAGTACTCACCAAGAGTGATCGAAAATTAGTACGATTTAGTACTATACGAACAATTATAGTACACATCTTCTCATCTCAATTCCAAGTACCAACAGATAACTCAATATCAAATTTCGGGATTCCAGCTGTATTCCTTCACTCAATACCAAAGTTAGTACTATTAAGTGTTTTTCGTACAATTATGGTACACACTTCCAAAAGCCCCTCCATATCACAATTACAGGTACCAACAGATAGCTCTTTATAAAATTTCGAAATTTCAGCACTATCCTTTCACCCAGTAGGCAATTTAATACCACTTAGTACTTTTCGAACAATTATAGTACACATTTCCAAGACCACCTCCATATCTTATCCATAGACATCAACAGCCAAACCTAAACCTATTTCTTTATTCAATACCAAATTTAGTAATGTTTAACACATTTCGTACAATTAAAGTACACATTTCCAAAGCCACTTCCATATTTCAATTTCAGAGAAGGAACTTTAATACCAAATTTGAGGATTTCAGCTCTATCCCCTCACCCAATACCAAATTTAGTACTTCATAGCATTTCCAAAACCACCTCCAAATCTCAACCCTACACACTAACAGTGATCCTAATACTAAATCTCAGATTTGAGGAACTATCTCTTCAGCCAATACCAAATTGTTCCAAATATAGTACTATTTAGTACTTTTCGTGTACTTGTTGTAACAGGGTCCCCCATGCCATAATTTCAAATTATCAGCTTTCAAATCTCAACCCTACACACTAACAGTAATCCTAATGCCAAATTTCAGATTTCAAGCAGTACGCGTTCACTCAATAACAAATTTAGTACCATATAGTACCTTTCATACACTTGTTGAATGCATTTCCAAAACCTACGCACCAGTAGAGACCCTAATACCAACATTATAAATTTCTATATCAAACCGTTCAACCAAAACAAAATTGTACCGAATTTAATGAGATTTACTAAAGTTGTTACACTTAGTACACAATTCTAACCAATAAGGAAAAGTCAAAAGTCGGACGGGGCCGACTATATGATACCCTACACCATTATGCAAATTTGGTAGAACTCCCGTAACAAAAGAATTTATTTCAAGTAGATCATACCACCTATCAACATTTGGCTTTAGATCAGTTATAGAGAGCATGATATCACTTGGAAAAGGATTATATCAAAAAATATATATCGGAGCCGAATTGCAATGGAAACGTACGTCCCGAAATTCACTCCATTTGGACTGGTATTAGCTATTACTTGCACAATTAACTTGAAATTGGACTAAGGATATATATGTGAGGCAACACAACACAAAATCGGATAAAACATATAGATGAGAGCTATAGCTATATATGAACCGATTTTCCAAATTCGATACTCGATGCACTCGCTTCTAGACTGAATTTGGTCGGAATGCCGAAATTCAGTCCATTTGCTGATATTGGCCATTTAGTGCACAATTAACCCAAAATCGGTCGAGGATATACATGGGAGCTATATCCAAATCTGAACCGATCTTGACATAATTTCATACACTTATTTCAGAGCTGTATCTAATATTTGGTACCAGAGATCTTTGTTGTGGAATGCATATTACGCTTGTGATGTATTTTAAACCCAAAATTTGATAAAACATATGTATGGGAGCTATAGCTATATCTGAAACGATTTAAACTTAATTTGAAGTTCCTTTTTTAAATTATGATTTCGTAATTAGTCGTATTAGTCGTAAATTCCAAAATGCATTCCATTTGGCCTGATATTAGCCATTCGGTGCACAAATTGTTCTTAAGACTAACAGCTTAAAAAACGTTGATATGGCAAAGCTAATGTACATACTAATGTGGTACTTAGTTGCTGATAAAGCCCTTTGACATGACACCTGCTCATTTTCCAGGTGAAATCAAGTGATCTGCTGATGAACTTAATATTGCGAAAACAATCTTATATTGGAGAAAGTACGGGTTGCTAGTTTTAGAGAGACAATGGTGAGACGATGTTTATTTCTGTTATAGACGATGGTTATTCCGTTATTGACGGAATGCCAGACTTTACAATCGGCATTGTACTTCACATATGCTTTGTTCCAGAACCTGCAAGAATCTACTAGTTTTGCAATTTTCGTCGATATCATAAAGGGGGAAATCGGTACTCGTAGTAAAAAGTTTTATAGTCTTGCAGTTGTGGAATAGAGCAACAGTCACATTCCGTTAAATTTTCGCATTCCACTTTCTTTCAGTGCGGATGAGTTTATCGATTAAATGTTTTTTTTTTTTTTTTTTTTTTGTTATAAAAATCACTATTTTTATTTATTTATTAACTGACAAAAAAAAAAAACAACCTAGTAAAAATTAATGTTTACGTTTTTTAGACGATGGCAAACCGCTATCAAATTCAGATATTGTCAATACCCTTGAGGTGGGTATCATTTTCGCCAAACGATTGGGTTCGGGACGATTAAGATTTCTCACGGCTCCGGTTACGGTGGTACCAAAACGATGTTTTCTCGCCTTGCGTTCGAGTTTGATTTTCTCTGGATCTCTGGGGGGAAGAAACAATAAATAAAATTAATAAATCTTTCTAATGGTAAAAAGTACGACGAGTAACTTACCTTTCAGTGTAGGTTAAACGATTTGTGGGCAATGCTGGCTTGGGCATTGTATGTTTCTTCACAAACGATGTTGGTTGTTCCTTGAGCCCAAAACTTTTAGCAAAATGTCCCATATGGGCGTTTTTAACATTGAAAATTGGTTTCAATTCTTTGGGGAACGTTGTGTAGAATTTCGTCCATGAAACGAATGCTGTAATGGAAAATAGAAAACGAAAAAATTTAATTAAATTTCAACGTAAAATTTAGGGAACAAATCAGGATAATATAAGAATCCTAAGAATCATTGGTTCTTTGGCGGATGATTGAATTAACTATAATTAAAAAATATTCCAAATACGTAAGGAGGAATGTATATAGATGATCCGTCAGCATTACCAACGGAAATAGTTTCCAAAAAATGCAAACTGAAATGCCTTCTGAATCCACCATTTAAAGGATCAGGAACTGATTTGACTAAATTCTCTATTATTCGTTCACATTATACCCTTTTTATAATCTCCACCATAGCATGGAGGGTATATTAAGTTTGTCATTTGTAACACCTCGAAATATACATTTTAGACCCCATAAAGTATATATATATTCTTGATCAGCATAAAATTCTATGTCGATTTAGTGATGTCCGTCCAACTGTCCGTCTATCCGTCTGTAGAAATCACTCTAGCTTCCGAACGAAATGAAGTAGGTTTATAAAATTTTACTCAAATGTGTATTATGTCTGCAGGACTTTTGGTATTGAAATGGGCCATGTAGGCCAACGTTTTGATATAACCCCCATATAATGGTACCTCCCTTTTTTCGGTATTTTGGCGATTTAAGCGACATTTTTCACTGGAAGTGTTTCAAATTTGGTATCTGAAGTTCGCAATGGGTACTACAGCCTATGACAGAAAATTGTCTGTGCAGTTTCACGTCTTCGTATAGCCCCTTTATAGCGGTACCTCCCGATATCCGGTTTTAATTTTAGCGACAATATTCACCGGAATTATTATTTTAAATTTGGTTTTTGAAGTTCGTAACGGATACTACAGCCTATGACAGAAAATGGTCTGTGCAGGTCTACGTCTTCATATAGCTCCCATATAACGGTATCTCCCGATATTCGGTACTTTGATGATTTTATCGACATTATTTATCGGAATTGTTTTTAACTTGGTATTTGAAATTCGTGATGGATACTAGAGCCTATGACAGAAATTTACCTGTGCAGGTCCACGTCTTCGTATAGATCCCATATAACGGTACCTCTCGATATTCGATACTTTGATGATTTTAGCGACATTATTCATCGAAATTGTTTCAAATTTGGTATTCGAAGTTCGTAATGGGTACTACAGCCTATGACAGAAAACTATCTGTGCAGGTCCACGTCTTCGTATAGCTCCCATAAACAGTACCTCCCTATATTCGATACTTTGATGATTTTAGCGATATTATTCATCGGAATAGTTTGAAATTTGGTATTTGATGTTCGTAATGGATAAGAAAGTCTATGACAGAAAATTGTCTGTGCAGTTCCACGTCTTCTTATAGCCCCTATATAACGGTACCTCCCGATATTCATTATTATGATGATTTTAGCGACATTTTAAACAGAATTTTTTTCAAGTTTCGCATTTGAATATTGTAATGGCTTTTGACAAAAGTGGCCTATACAGGTCCACGTCGTCGTATAGAATTTAATATAACGGCTACATTTGATATTTTTAAGATTTTAACAGAATTTTTAAAGGATTATATTTTTTGAAAATTGCCAAATTTTTTCCAAATGGTGGAGGATATTCAAAGTTCGGCTCGGTCGCAATTACAGTTTGTTTATTTGTTTAAAGATTCCGATTATGTTTAAAAAAGATAATATAGATGGCCTTTCATTCCCATGTCAGCAAAATATCTCCCTATCTTAATTCGTTAACTTTGTTGCTTATAAATTACCACAATTTTGTTGTCAATTAAAAACTTTAATTTGCTTTTTTTTATTTAAAAACAACAAACCGCGGTCTCATACTTTTATACAAAAAATCAGTGAAATAAAAAATACAAATTCATATTAACCAGCAACGCTGTAATCATTCCAACTCAAAAGGACATTAATTTTGTAATTATACGGAGGACATTTTTCACTCTTTTTTATTTTTTTGCCTCACAACCTGAAAAGCAAATGAAAATGTTGGGGAAATCGAAATGAAAAACATTATTTTTCCAATTACAAGTTGCGAACCACACTTTCATCATAACATTTGAGGGGTGGGAGTGTTGGATGGTTCATGGAAACCGGGGCCACGGGCAAGAGATACTTTATTTAAGTTACGAAAGGGTTGGTAGGTTGGCTGGCCACGAGTCCATTTGTGTGGACTGCAATACTTTTCGTAAATAAATAACTAATGAAAAAAACCCACAAGCCAACGCGATATTCACAATATTTTTTGTTGCTGTAATCTTTTATTAAAAAGTTATACTTTATTTTGATTGCGTGTATTTTATGTTCACACACACGCACACACATTGCAGGCACGGGACACGCAGTCCATGGAGTGTATTATGAGATTGTATGACACTTGATGGATGAATGAATGACATAGGTGGTTTGATGTACAGGAAGGACGACGTGGGTGATGTTATTTCTCACGATGACGATTGGTGGGGATGATGATGATGATGGGTGTAATTAAGTATTTTGTGACATACACACAGAGCCTGTGAGTTTCATTAAAATTGTGGCAAAGAAGTAACAGCTATGGCTGCCCATCCCATCCAATATAAGTTTAATTAAATGTCATCAAATATTTTATGGTTGTCCTGCGAGATACATCAACAAAATTGTGAGGAAATTTTGTGAAAAATGATTACAATCGAAAAATGTTTTTAAAGAATAATTTGTCTAATTATTTGAAAGGGTAAAAGGTAAAGAGCAATAATAACAAATGGATAGGATATGTATTTGTTGGTGGAGCGACCAACGTGAAATTGGGATAAGTCAAAGTCGGGCGGGACCGACTATATGATTCCCTACACCACTATGCATATTTAGTAGAGCTCCTGTAACAAAAGAATTTATTTGAAGTAGATAATACCACATATCAACATTTGGCTTTAGAGCAGCTATAGTTTGGTTTCAGAGGGAACTAATATATGGAAGGCATATCCAATTCTGAATCGATTTTCACTAAATTTGGCGGAGACATTTTAATCTTTTATACCAAATAATAATGCTATAGATTGCATGGTATCACGTCGAGAAGGATTATACAGGGTGAGATGAAAAAACTGCAACCAACTTCAGACTGCTGTAATTTCTAAGCCACTCGTCCGACAGCTCTTAAAATTATTCCAGTAACAGCTCATTATATTTTTTAGAAGCGTACAAAAGCATTTTCGTGAGAATTTTCCAGAAAAAAAGTTATTCATGATGGAATTCAAGCGTGATATTGTGATTTCTTTATATTTTTGGCTGGAAAACCACAAGTGGCTATCTTAAAGTCTTTTGTGTCTCGTTACCGTGATACTGGTAGCGTAGCCCGACGTCAAGGAAGTGGGCGGAAGAAAACAGCAACATAAGCAGAAATGGTTCGAAAAGTAAAGAAGCGACTTGATCGAAACTCGCGTCACAGTGGCCGAAAAATGGCTAATGAGCTGAACATATCGCAACATTCCATTCGGCAAATATTGAAAAATGAGCTCGGGGAACTTACACCGCAACAGAAAGAATATAGACTCAAAAGAGCTGAAGAGTTGCTTTGCTTGGCCGAAAGTGCTGAACTGCCGAATTTGGGTTTCTCCGATGAGAAAACATTCGTTGTCCAGCAGTTTATAAACACACAAAATTATCGTGTTTACTTGCCAAAGAGGTCAGATGAAAATGTGCACCTTCGGTTGGCCACCAGAACTCAAGCGCCGGCCATGGTGATGGTGTGGTCCGCCATAATAGCCAATAGTCATTCTCTGCTCGTATTATCGCCTTGGGCACGCAAATATTTTGCCGCAGACCTTGGACATTCCAAGAGGACTTAGCACCATCGCACTCAGTTCGCGCCACCCAAGAATGGTTACAAAATTATGTTCTTCGCTTCATTTCCAGTGCACAATGGCCACCAAAATCTCCGGATACCACTCTTGGGACTATTGGGTCTGAAGAATCTTGGAAAGCAAGGTTGGCACTAAAAAATACCAAAGTGTCGATCTCTCAAGCAAGCGTCCGGGAATGGGCCAAAATACCGCAGAGCTACATTCGGGCAGCATGAGACGGTTTCATTGGCCGTTTGAAGGCCATAATTCGTGCCAAAGTTAACCAATTCGAACAAATCTAAACTCATTCAAGAATTTTATGCTATTTCCGACGTTTTTTGCATTCATTCAATAAAATTTAAAAAAAAGTGTAAAAATTATGGCGTTTGAATTTGTTGAAGTTTTTTTTATCTCACTCACCTATAAAAAATCACTCGATAAAATTTTCCAAGGGTATTTCCAAGCTCTATAAGATATCTGATACCAATTATCATTGTTGTCGAATGCATATTACGAATGTGAAGGTCTTAAACACCAAATCGGACGAAATATATATATGGGAGCTATAGCTATATCTGAACCGATTTTCAGCAAATTTTATGTACTTGCTTCTAGACTGAATTCGGTCGGATCTGCCAAAATTCAGGTAATTTGGACTGATATTGGCCATTTGGTGCACAATTAAGCCGAAATCGGTTGAAGATATACATGGGAGCTATATGCAAATCTGAGCCGATTTTGATAAAATTTGGCAGAGATATTTCTGGACTGTATCTCGTACCAAATATCATTGTTGTCGAATGCATATTACGTATGTGAGGCACTTAAATACTAAATCGGATGAAACATATATATGGGAGCTATGTCTACCTATTTACATTAATTTCGAAGTACTGGTTTCTAGGATGAATTCAGTCGTAATTGCCAAAATTCATACCATTTGGGCTGATTTTAGCTATTTGGTGCACAATAAACCTGATATCGGATAAATATATATATGGGAGCTATATTTTAATCTGAACCGATCTCGATAAAATTTGGCAAAGGTATTTTCGAGCAGTATCTGTTGTCCAATACCAAATATCATGCTTGTGGAGTGCATATTACATCCCAAATCGGATGAAACATGTATGGCAGCTATAGCTATATCTGAACTGAATTTGATGCATTTGCTTCTAGACTGAATTTGGTTGTATATGCCAAAATGCAGGTCATTTGGACTTATATTGGCCATTTGGTGCACAATTAACCGGAAATCGGTTGATGATATATATATGGGAGGTATATCTAAATCTTATCCGATTCTCATTAATTTCAATGGGGTTCGTCCTTGGGCCAAACAAATATTGTTTGGAAAATTTCATCTCTATCGGATAATAAATGCGACCTGCATTTTGTTCAAAAGAATATATGGACGGACGGACAGACGGGCTGACATGCATAAATCGACTCAGAAAGTGATTGTATGTAGATCCTCAAAAGTAACTATGGGTCTATCTCGCTTCCTTCTCTATGTTACAAACAAATGTACAAAGACATTATCACTATGTGGTGTAGGATATAAAAACAATAAAACATCAATAAAATGGATGTATGAAGTTCTAAAGACTTCCGTGAAAGTAATTTCTCATACTATTCTTCTGTTCAGCGGTAAGTAAACAAAACAATAACTAAAAGTTTAACTGCTTTTTTAAGATGTTTCGAAGCGAAAAACAACAAGACGCTACAAAAGTGTGAGAGAGACACAGAGGGGTCGAAATGTACTACCAATCAAAAATCCATTACAATTGTTTCGCTTCGATAAAACTAAACAGAAAACAGGATGGATGGATATACACGTTGATACTTCAACATATATTTTCACACACATTCATATAAAACAAATACGTAACTCCATCGCATTTCTTCGTTTCTTTTGTTTTCTTGTACTTCTTTACTGATTTCACACATCTTGAAAACGAAGCGAAAACAAACAAACAAAAAAAACTCACGTTATTCCGTTAAGGAACTAAAAGCACAGCAAAACATCCTGTGAACAATACCATAAAAGTATCCGTTCAAAAGCGAACAACTGCAAAGAGTGCATAAGTGTATTCTTGTTGTCGTTGTTGTAAAAGCTATTATAAAAATACTCAAGCGAATAAACTTTTGTCAACGTCCGTACAAAGGAAACTGGAAAAAATGCACAATAATTGAATTAGTTTTGGAAAACATGAAATATTTGTTCGCCTTTGTTTCTCGACTCGATAAAAAAAGGATTGGAATGAAGTGTGGAAAAGAGGATATTGCTTTTGATTAGTAAAACACAAAAGGTCTTGATTAAGAGAAAATATATTCTGCGAAATAGTGGGGGGCATTGATTTGAATAAAGTCAATTTGATTTTTACATTGCTTTGGTTGTAGGTTGCGCAGCTCCATTCGGAGACTTTTAGTCCGCTGTGTTCATCCTAGGAAGAATAAAGTTTTAGGGATAGGAAGATATAGGAGATGAAATTGCTTGAAAGGGTTTATGGAGAGAAATATAGTTGTCAGGGTGGTCTGCCCAGCAAAAGAATGATGTTGGCAATATTGTAAATGATGATGGCATCTATGTATGATAAGAACGTTGTCTCTTGTTGTCTACATCTTCTTACTATATAAGTTTTTCATCTTCCGCTGTGCAATGTAGGGAGGGTGTAAGTGATTACTCACTACCACCTAGCTTCTTAAAACCAGGGAAGTGGGTGTCTGATTGAAGGGCAAGAGTTGGTAGGCAGTTTTTACGAAGTATGACAGCATTAACTACTCTCTCTCTCTCTCTCTCTGCCTTAATGCCTTTGTTTGTAACACGGAGAAGATAGCAAGATAGGCCCATATTTACCTTAAGGATCTTTAAGGATTTTTCTAAGTTGATTTATGCATGTTAGACCGTCTGTCCGTCCATGTATTTTTGTGAAAGAATTACAGGTCTCATTTATTATCCTATTGAGATGAAATTTACTAAACAATATTAGTTTAAACTAAAGACGAACCCTATTGAAATTGGTGAGAATCGGTTAAAATCAAGATATAGCTCCCATATATATTTTCAATCGATTTCGGCTTAATTGTGCACCAAATGTCCAATATCAGTCGACCGAATTTAGTTTAGAAGCAAATACATCAAATTTGGCGAAAATCGGTTCAGATTTAGCGATAGCTTCCCATATATACGTTTCATCCGATTTGGTGTTAAAGTCCCTCACATGCATAATATGCACTCCACAACAATAATATTTGGTATTAAATATCAGATAAAGCCCAAAAATATCTATGTCAAATTTATTTATCGAAATCGGATCAGATTTGTATATAGCTGCCATATATGTCTTTATCCGATATCAGGTTTATTGTGCACCAAATGCCTAATATCAGCGAAAATGAACTGAATTTTGGTACTTCCGACGACAACCGGTTCAGATAAAGCTATAGCTGCCATATATATGTTTAATCCGATTTGGTGTCAAAGTTCAAGTAATATCCACTCCACAAAGATGATATTTGATACCGGACATCAGATACAGCTCGAAAATATATCTGCCAATTTACCTTCGATATACACACGATTTTACGGTTATTGTCCAATCGGTTCAGAGTTGAATATAGCTCCCAAATTGTTACTACTCTAAAGCCATGGTACGCATTTAAATAAGGTTCATAGTTGGTATGGTTTACGTCACATAAATTCCCAATATACACTTTTTTGGTTACGGGAGCTCTACAACATACGCATAGTGGTGTAGGGTATTATATAGTCGGCCCACCCGGCTTTTGACCTTTTTTTACTGGTTTATTTTCAACTCTATGGGTGTGGCCTTGATTTTCTTTTGATTTAGGAATCTTAAGTCGTTCTTAAGCAAGGTTAGATGATCATAATACAGAATTTCTTTTTTTGTATTTGGTCATGATTTGAATGAAAACATATAAACCTATTCGCATACCCAAGGGAAAATCTGCAATGTTCGTCTTAACGATTCAAGTTTGTACTCACCTTTACATGCCTTATCATGCATTTCTTTGTCATCGGCTATAAGCTCTTGGAATTTATGTTGTAAATTTGATGCTGCCTCTTGGACTGTGTTCGCTTCATCATCGGCCTCATTGAGTGCCTTTAAATACTCATCCATATCAGCTTGAGATATTCTAAAATAAATCGAAAATACATTAGAATTTTCCCCCTTAGGCAATGAATACAATTGCCTCGCATTTATCATTTTTCCCTACCTTATCCGTTTATTTTCTAAATAACGAACAAACTGGACTTCACTGGGCGTTAAGAAAAGTACAGCACGACCATTGCGTCCAGCACGGGCTGTGCGACCAACACGATGCACAAATCGGCAGTTTTCTGGGGTGGGGAGTATTGTACGACCAAATCGATTTCAGGAACATCTATGCCACGGCCAACGACATCCTACGAAGAAAAATAACACATATAATAGATTATTAATAAATAAATTAGTTTTCTTTGAACTTACTGTTGCCAAAAGAACTCCTGATTTACATTCTCGGAATCCCTTAAAGACACCCTGTCTTTCGGTTTGTGACATGGATCCATGTAATCTACAAATAAGATAATGAAGATATTTTTTAGTCATAAAACGATAATTCATACAAACTCATATCCCACTCACCTGAAGAATCTTAAACCCTTCAACAGTGGCTCATCTGAATCATCATCCGATTCCTCTTTGGCCAATTCTTCATCTTCTTCGTCGAGTATCTTTTGGGTAAGCTGTTCATTTAACAAATCATGATGAAAGTTAACCATTTCCATGGTACTCATAAAAATCAAAGCCTTAAATTTATCTTTATTACGAAATTCATGAGCCAATAGCCCAGAGAGTGTAACCAGACGTAACTTTGGTGCCACCACTACATAGCTAAGTTTTAAATTTTCAGGTATTGTTAAGATACCAGTTGAATCTTCACCGTCCAGCACATCGGCCGTGACAGCCTCAATTGTTTCTTTATTATAACCCTCTGTTGTTCTAATGGCCTTGGTGGGATCCTCATCACTGTTATCGATGTATATGGGATCATTTAATGTTAGACCAGCTAATTTTTGTACAGCTGATGTTAGAGTGGCTGACAATAACATTCTCTGCAACGGTTCAGGGGTGCCACCTTCTTTGGCATCTTCCGTTCGTTGTTTATCGATACCCTCAACAATTTGTTTAACATCACGTTCATAGCCCATTTCCAAGAGACGATCAGCTTCATCCAGTACAAGAAATTTGGCTTTACTCAGCTTAAATGATTCGGTGTGTAGTAAATGATCAACCAAACGGCCAGGTGTCCCCACCAAAATATTTATACCTTTACGTAATCTGGCTTTTTCGGCTTTTCTTCGTTCACCACCCATCAGGGCGCCCGGTACAATCCATGTAAAGGGTTTTACTAATTTTAGGAAGAGCTCATAAGTTTGAATGGCCAATTCTCGTGTGGATACTATAACAACAGCCAATATACCACAATCACGGGTAATTTTCGGCCGTATCGAATGTAGTTTTTCCACCAGAGGTAAGGCATAGGCCAGTGTCTTGCCCGAACCAGTTTGAGAACGTACAAGAAGATCTCTTCCTGAAATGAAGAAGAAAATATAAAGTTATTTATGTAATAACCAGTAAGGAAAAATCAAAAGTCGGGCGGGGCCGACTGTATGATAGCCTACACCACATGCATATTTAGTAGAGCTCCCGTAACAAAAGAATTTATATTGAAAATTTATTTGAAGTAGATCATACCACCTATCAACCTTTGGCTTTAGAGCAGTTATAGTGGTTTCAGAGGGAGGCATATCCAATTCTGAATCGATTATCATTTTTTATACCAAATAACATTGCTATAGAGTGTAGGATATCACTTCGAGAAGTGAGCCGACTTCCTCAAAATTGGAAACGTACGTCCCGAAATTCACTCCATTTGGGCTGATATTACCCATTATTTGTACAATAAACCTGAAATCGGATTAAGGATATGTATGGGAGCTATATCCAGATCTGAACAAATCTTGATAAAATTTGGCAGAGGTATTTACGAGCTCTATAAGATATCTGCTACCAAATATCATTGTTGTCGAATTCATATTACGATTGTGAGGGACTTAAATACCAAATCGGATGAAACATATATATGGAAGCTATAGCTATATCTGAATCGATTTTTACCAAATTTAATGTACTTGCTTCCAGACTGAATTCGGTCGGATGTACCAAAATTCAGGACTTTTGGACTGATACCTGCTATTTGATGCCCAATTTACCCGAAATCGGTTGAAGATATATATGGGAGCTATATCCAAATCTGAACCGATTTTGATAAAATTTGGCAGAGGTATTAACGAGCTCTATAAGATATCTGCTACCAACTATCATTGTTGTCAAATGCATATCACGAATGTGAGGGACATAAACACCGAATCGGATGAAACATATATATGGAGCTGTAGCTATATCTGAACCGATTTTCACCAAATTTAATGTACTTGTTTTTAGATTGAATTCGGTTGGATGTATCAAAATTCAGGAGTTTTAGACTGATATTGGTTATTTGGTGCACAATTAACCCGAAATCGATTGAAGATATATGGGAGCTATTTCTAAATCTGATCCCATTATCACCAATTTCAATAGGGTTCGTCCTTGGGCCAATCGGATAATAAATGCGACCTGTCAATAGGGTTCGTCCTTGGGCCAATCGGATAATAAATGCGACCTGCATTTTGTTCTCGAGAATACATGGACTAACAGGCGGACTGACTTGCATAAATCGACTCAGAAATTCTATGAAGATCCTCAAAAGTAACTATGGGTCTATCTCGCTTCCTTCTCCATCTTACAAACAAATGCCCAAAGAAATAATATCCTTACTACTATTTGATGTAGGGTATAAAAAGTAAGGGAGACATTGTTTAGATTCTTCAAGAACACAGTGTTGTAGACGGAAGATCTACAAAGTCTTTAACCCTAGCTACTTGTCTAGGAAAGGCAAAATTTAAGGTTTTAATATCAAAGGACATGAGGGTTCATTCAAATAAAAATTATATGGTGCCTTTACGAAAACGTATGTCTAAATTAATCCTTATCCTTTCGAATTTTTATATAATTGGTTAGAAATATTATTCCCACTTACCCTCCAAAGCTTTAGGTATTGTCTTCTTTTGTACCGTGGTCAGATGAGTAATGCTCAATATGTCGGCAAGATTTTTCACTGTATGAGCGTGTAGATCCAATGACTCCACTTTGGTGTTATCGAAAATTTTCTCAGTAATTGGTTTTACAAAACGTTGGCCCAATTCCACTTTCTCTGGTTGATCTTTGAAGAGGCCAATTTTACGTACACTAGAATCGCCTGGACGTTTAACACGAAAAGCATTATTTTTACGTGCCTGGGGATCTACGTGTCCCAATTCTGGTTCTTCAACTGGACTGCCGTCTTCCTTGGCCTTCATTGCTTCACGTTCCTCCCTTTCCCTTTGTACGAAAAGATCGGCGGCTCTTGGTTTTTGATTTGGATTTTTAGAGAATTTTCTGATACCAGCTTTCAGTTCATTATCGGACAAGGTACGTTTCTTTAGTTGCCCATCACCGCCCTGTCGTTCTGAGCGTTTTTGTTGAAGACGTTCCTGGCGTGTTAGTTTTGCTTTTTGGCCTTGCTGTTTGCCCACCATGCCTGTGGGAGCTGTGCATATGTTCAACATTAGGTCTCCAGCTAAATCCTTGGTTTTTGGTACTCTAGCATAGGATTCCAAATCGGAATCGCCATCATCTTGATGGGATTGTGGGGCTGCAACAAAATTCTTTTTAGGCACTTCACTGGTGTTGTCCGTAGCCTTTCGTTTTAAGGCCACTGACTGGCCATTTGGCTTTGTGGGTTTTGTGTCAACTTTTCTACGTATGGCCATTGATTTAGGTTTGACCGCCTCTTCAGTTGTCTTCTTGGGTTTGTCATCTTCGGATACGGGTTTTCCGGCTACCGGACGTCTTCGTGCCACAACCGCCTTTACCTTTTGCGTCCCACCACCAAACTCAAATGAAAATCCACTACTAGCAGAGTTTTTTGACTTCTTCTTCGTGGGAGGAGGAAGGACTTCCTGAAAATGATAGAATTTTAAATATGAATGTAACAAAATCCTATTATTCGCCTTACCTCCGGCTTGCTACGCATTGGCTGCTTAGCTGTGGTGATGTTCAGTTCAATGGTCATCTTTGTGGCAGGGGTGTTGTAACTTAGAATTGACTGAAATAGTTTCTAATTTTTAATTTAATTTTTAAATAACAAAAACGTGCTGTTGCTTCGAGCTCTTCAAGTTATTCATGTGTTATCGTTCCGTTTGTTTTGATACATGTTTTCGTTTCAAACGATTCTTTTGACGTTTCTCTTTGTCACGTTTCTTTCCAATGTAGTATACTATTTCTCTCAAAGATGTCACTGCTGATGTAATAAAGATGCTGGTCGATTCGATACTTTAACAACACTGAAATAAAATAGCTCAGTTCACAGAATCTTCTCCACCGCTTCAAGGTAGTAATAGCTCATTTAGAATATTCTTCATACCCCAATGTTTTTAATAAATCTACAACAAAATTCCCGCCATTTACATATATATTTGGGTTGACTAAAATGCAGGCCAGATAACGTTTTTATTTTAGAAGGATGGGTACTCTTATCATTAGAACACCGCCCGGATGGGTATTTAAAACTCCACTGTATCAGTAAATTGGTATCATCCATAGCCTGAACTCTGCCGATTTCGTGTTTGTATTTATTACTTTTTCTTAGTAAAAAATAAAATATCTTAAAAACCAGTAAGAAAAGGCTATTGTCGAGCGGGGCCGACCATGTGTACCCTACAATACTACAATATGTTAAAGGCCGCTTAGCTTGTGAAATTATGCCACGGAGCACTGCCTAGATATTACACTTAGCCTTTGATTAAGGCGAAAAAACATTATAAAATGTATACTTCAATATTATAAGTCAAATTGAAAAAAAATGCATGCGATAAAAAATATGAAAAAACAAGTAAGCAAAGGCTATAGTCGTGCGGGACCTACCATGTGATACCCTACAACACTACAATATGTTAGAAGGACCCTTATGCCCAAGTCCATTTTGGAAGATTTCACTTTTGAAATTTTGTCATGGAGCACTGCCCAGATATTGCCCTTACCATTTTGACCAGGGAAATTTGCGCACTCCGTCGTGCTGTTAGTTGTTGTGGTCGATTTTTCAGCTAAATATAATTCAATGGTCATCCTAAAAGCTAGAATTCTTCCCTATCCTTAAAGCTGGGAATACATAAAGCGCTTATTTGGCTGGCTTAAGTCATCGGCTGGCTTCTTCGGAAATGAACAAAGGAGCCTAGGGTCAAAATCGAACTAAGTCAACCTAAAACTCCTTTGTTCCTCTACGAAGAAGCCAATGACTTAATTCCCACCCTAAAGCTGGGAATACATAAAGCGCTTATTTGGCTGGCTTAAGGGCTAAGTACATAAGAAGCTTGAAGTCATGGCTAGGCATATTAATGTCAAATTATAATGGAAAACGACGGCTGGATTTAGTGCGGCTCTGTAATCCCTTTGTGAAATGTCACAAAATATGCCTAGCCATGACTTCAAGCTTCTTATGTACTTAGCCCTTTAAGTCATCGGCTGGCTTCTTCGGAAATGAACAAAGGAGCCTAGGGCCAAAATCGAACTAGGTCAACCTAAAACTCCTTTGTTCATCTACGAAGAAGCCAGCCGATGACTTAAGCCAGCCAAATATGCGCTTTATGTATTTCCAGCCTAACCCTACCCTTGTGAAAATTTTCGTAAAGATCGGACGATAATTGCAATCTGTATATAATAACCCCAACCCGTGTTGTAAGGTTAAAAAATTTACAAAATGTACATTTCAATATTATAAGTCAAATTGAAAAAATCGCATGCGATAAAAATATGAAAAAATAAAAAAATGTCACAAAATCTGAATTGACAAAATTTGTCAAAATCGGTCCAGCCATTCTTGAGATATAAGCATTTTAGCTAACATCCCCTTCCTTTGTATATATGTATTGTACATATTTCGCTATATATATTCGATATATTTACTATCGGCATTTACGTAACGGTCAGGATTGACCTGTTCGTCTATTTATGATTTTGCCGGGATTAAAAATATTCGCGGTTTAATGGAAAATTTGATATTAGTCTGGGCAGAAGTCTTCCAATTTTGATGGTAATCGGGTAATATTTAGTGGATGAAAAGGCCATGATACTTGGTACAATGAAGAGAAGGTAGGTCAACTTTGAAAAAATTGCAAGTATAGAGGTCTACCTGTTTGGCTTGTAATGTCAGAATTTGTATCAAAACAATAAAAAATCAAACAATTTGTTGCATTTATTTTGAATAAATAATTGAAAACCCCGGTAACTGAATGAAAGGTCGACTTTTCTTTTCAAAATCATGTACTATATATCTCTAAAGGATAATTTCGCTACAAAAACTCTAGATTTTGTCGATGCATACGTTGAAATAAACATTTTGAAAACACCCGAATTTGAATATTTTCTGAACAATTTTTTTGTTATTGAAAAGAAAACACATACATAAACAAATAAAGATGACATATTAAGCCAAGAAAATAAAAAAAATTAAAATCATATGGTTTCATAGCCCTACCTTGATATCATTTTACCATGGGTACTACAGCCTGTGACAAAAAATTGCAGGTCCACGTCTTCGTATAGACCCTATAACGGTAACTCCATATACCAGATGAGGTGAAAAAAATGTAATAAAGTCAAACGTCATAATTTTTACATTTCTTTTTTTTAAATTTTATTGAAAGAAAGCACAAAATGTCGGAAATAGCATAAAATTTTAGAATAAGTTTGGATTTGTTCGAATTTGTCTCTACTCTCTTTTGTTCTTAGCTCTTTTGATTCTATTTTCTTTCTGTTGCGGTGTAAGTTTTTGCACTTTTTGAATTTTAATGGCTTTACCCCGAGCTAATTTTTCAATATTTGCCGAATGGAACATTACGATATGTTCAGCTCATGAGCCATTTTTCGGCCACTGCGACGCAGGTTTAATCAAGTCGCTTTTTTGCTGCTGATGTTGCGGTTTTTTTCCGTCCACTTCCTTGACGTCGGGCTACGCTACCAGTATTACGGTAACGAGCGATGGTACGAGACACAAAAGATTTATTCACATGCTGTGTTTGTGTGTTTCCAGCCAAATATAAAGAAATCACGCTATCACACTCAAATTCCATCACGAATAACTTTTTGCTGAAAATTCTCACCAAAAAGGCTTTTGTACGATTGTAGACAATATAATGAGCTGTCGGACGAGTGGCTTAGAAATGACAGCAGTCTGAAGTTGGTTGCAGTTTTTTCATCTCACCCTGTATACGGAATTTGTAACTAATTATATTTTTCATTTATGTTTTTTTTTTTTTTAAATTCCAAATGTTAGAGGGCATTTAAAGTTCGTCCCGGCCGTACTTACTGCTTTTTCACTAGTTTTCTTTTGAGTTTCTTTACTGCTCTCCATTAACGAGAAAGTGAAATAAAGAGAAATATGTCAAAATCTGTGTCTTGTTAACCTAAAATTTGTGACAGTTGTTACAAATTGTTACTGGAAATCGTCTGTTAACTCGAAACTTCTGCAAAGGAGAGCGGTTGGAGAGAGAAATTTTGACAGTTCTTTCAGTGAGAGTTTGCAAATTCTTGCTGGACAAATTTCCTCATGCAATCATAATGTTTCAATCACATTATCACAGAATAAAAGATAAACAATAGCCAAAAAGTGTAAACAAATTTTGACATTTCATTTGGTTTTTCTGCTGATGTTGCTGATTTTATTTAGTTTTCGAAATAATAAACAAAAATTGAATTTGTTTTTATTAAATTGGAAAAATTTGCAATTTTACTAAAATAGTAGTTTTTTGCCAGTAGTCCGGCACCATTTTTCAATGCTCGGTATGTCTATTTGCCAGTAGTCGGCATATGGTATTTCAGTAAAAAAATATTATTTTGTATATTTATACTCTACACCACATGGCGTTCAGGGTATTATGTCTTTGTGCATTTGTTTGTAACAGGCAAAAGGAAACGAGATAGACCCATAGTTCCTTTTGATGATCTGCATATAATCACATTCTGAGTCGATTTATACATGTCCGTCCGTCCGTCTGTCCATGTATTTTTGTAAACAAAGTACAGGTCGCATTTATTGCCCGATCCAGATGAAATTTTGCACAGATCATTTGTTTGGCCCAAGGACGAACCCTATTAAAATTGGAGATAATCGGTCAACATTTAGATATAGCTCCCATATATATCTTCGTCCGATTTACCTTTTATTGTGCACCAAGCGTGTAATATCAGTCCGAATTGTATGGAATTTTGCATATACACCCAAATTAGGCCTGAAAATAAGAATGCCAAATTTGATCGAAATCGTTTCAGATATAGCTATAGCTCCCATATATATTGTTCATCCGATTTGTTATTTTTGTCCTCAGCAGCCTTAATACGCACTCTTCAACAGCAATATTTGGGGAAATATATCAAATACAGCTCAGAAATACATTTGCCAAATTTTATCGAGATCGGTTCAGATTTGGATATAGCTTCCATATATAACTTCGTCCGATTTATCTTTTATTGTGCACCAAACGTTTAATATTTGTCTAAATGGGATGGAATTTGGCACATAAGACCGAATTGAGTCTAGAAGCAAGTATGTCAAATTTGGTGAAGATCGGTTCAGTTATAGCTATAGCTTCCATATATATTGTTCATCCGATTTGTTGTATTTGTTACCCACAACCGTAATATGCACTCCGTAACAAGTTCAGAAATATCTTTGCCAAATTTGCCAATCGAGATCGGTTCAGATTTGGATATAGCTCCCATATATATTTTTATCCGATTTTAAAATATTTGTGCCTCAAATGGACAACACAATTCCGAATTTAAAAGATACAAATGCTTCGGCATATTTAGTCCTTTGAACTTTAAATTATAATCATAGCTTGTATTATTGAATTCTCCCATAAAAACTTTTAATTGTTATGTGGAGCTCTACTAAATTAGCAAAGTGGTGTAGGGTATCATAAAGTCGGCCCGCCCGACTTTAAGACTTTCTTTACTGGTTTTTATTTCAAATAGTATAAAACAATGCAACATTACTAATTCACAGTTTAATCCAGAAATTGAAATTAATTTCGTTTTTAAATAAACCAAAATATAGGTAGAAAAAAAAAATAGTATGGTTACCTTCAGTAACGTATGGATTTTCAATAAAAATAAAAATGAGATTAAATGAAAAAAAGAAAAAAGTACTTTT